TACAACAGGGACAAAAGTTAGGAGATTTCCTTTGAAATATTGATCAGATCTGTTGAAAGTTATTCTATCCTGTAAATAAACTCGACGTTTATTTTTATTGCATGTTTCAACTCTAGGTAAATAATTGTATCATTATTATATTCATTTGGGGCAACGAGGAATAGAATTCACGGTCGCGAGTGAAAAATCCTTTCTATCGGTTTTCAATCATTAATAAATGAACATCCACGCTTGCAGATAAACCCTTGCACAGCCAGTGGGAATCCTTGCAACAACGGGGCCACCTGCGTGGCGTTGCAGCAGGGCCGTTACAAGTGCGACTGCCTGCCAGGCTGGGAAGGCCAGAGCTGCGAGATCAACACGGACGACTGTGCGGAGAAACCGTGCCTGCTAACTGCCAACTGCACGGATCTGATAGCCGACTTCAGCTGCGACTGTCCACCAGGATTCACTGGCAAGCGGTGCCACGAGAAGATAGACCTGTGCTCGGGGAACCCCTGCCTGAACGGGATATGCGTGGACAATCTGTTCGGCCACGAGTGCATCTGTCATCCTGGATGGAGCGGGGCGGCTTGCGAGACGAATATAAACGAATGCTCGGGCAAACCATGCCGGAACAACGGCCAGTGTATCGACCAGGTCGACGGATACACGTGCACCTGCGAGCCAGGCTACACAGGCAAACAGTGTCAACACACCATCGACGACTGTGCCTCCGATCCTTGCCAAAACGGAGGGACCTGCGTCGACCAGTTGGAGGGGTTCGTTTGCAAGTGCAGACCGGGCTTCGTCGGGCTGCAGTGCGAGGCAGAATTGGACGAGTGTCTCAGCGACCCGTGCAGCCCTGTTGGTACGGATCGTTGCGTCGACTTGGACAACACTTTCGTCTGCCACTGTCGCGAAGGCTACACCGGCTCGGCGTGCGAGGTCAACATCGACGACTGTGCCTCGGACCCTTGTCTGAACGGGGCCACGTGCAGGGACGAGGTCGGCGGGTTCAAGTGCATGTGCCCTGAAGGTTGGACCGGCATTCATTGCCAGATAGACGTCGGCATGTGCCAGAATCATCCTTGCCAGAACGACGCGGCCTGCGTAGACCTGTTCATGGACTACTTCTGCGTGTAAGTATAAAGACAGAGCGTGGTAGGCAAGCAAGCGTCGTTCAAACTGACGTTTGGAAATATTCTGCGTCGACAGATGCCCGTCAGGAACGGACGGGAAACAATGCGAGACCGCGCCAGAACGTTGCATCGGCAATCCATGCATGCACAACGGACGCTGCCAGGACTTTGGCTCCGGGCTCAACTGTACCTGCCCCGACGACTATACCGGCATCGGATGTCAGTACGAGTACGACGCTTGCCAGGCTGGCGCGTGCAAGAACGGGGCTAC